TTGGTTTTATTCTAATCAGTTACGAGAAAGCAAGACCCACGTACAAGTTTGAAAAATTTATATTTCACGGAAGCAAAAGCATCTAAGTTATTCTGGAATTTTCACTCCTTCATCTGCTCAAAATTATCACTTTATTGCCGTTCGTGGTGCCGCGAAAGGAAACCATATTTGAAGCTTCGTTTCGGACGGTCTGTACGAGAACATTGAGACGACGTTATGAGAAAGTCCTTTTGTGAAGTATTGCTGCAGTACTACCCCAGAATATCTGAAGTTGAGGAACTCTATTCGACGTCCATCGCTAATTGTGTCTTCAACAGTTTTCTGTGCTATACCACCATCATGTTGAACATTGTAACAATCCACGCGATAAGAGAAACTTCGTCGTTGCCAAAGACTTTAAAAACATTGCTCCTGAGCCTTGCTGTTTCTGATGTTGGCGTTGGTTTATTCGGTCAACCATTTTACATCTCACTTCTGGTCAAGTGGTTACAACAAAACGATCCTGGGTGTAACTTGTACAAGGCTTTTGACATCATTGTTGGCTTGTTTTCAACCGCTTCGTTCCTTGGTGTTGTGGCTGTCAGTGTAGACAGGTTCTTAGCTATTCATCTTCATCTCAGATACCGGGAATTTGTGACTCACAAGCGTGTTGTTGCTATGGTGATCTCAATATGGGTGTTAAGTGCGTATTTCTCTTTGATACCCTTTTGGGCTCCACCAGATATTCGCGCCTTAATTCTGTCCATCGGTACTGTCATTGGTCTTCTTCTTACAACACTGGTCTACATTAGGATTTATTTAGCCGTAAGACGCCACAAGAATCAGATTCAGGTCCTGCAAGTACAGAATGCGACACAGACTGGCGCAATAGCAAATTTTGCTGAGGTCATCAAATCTTCCGTGGAAACGTTTTACGTTTATCTCGTGTTTTTGGTCTGTTATCTCCCTATTTTTATAACTTCGTCTGCCTTTCAAATCATCAACCCGAGCATCGCTTGGAAGAGATTTTTACTTTTCTCACTAACTCTCATATTTGTCAATTCATCTTTGAACCCCGTAATTTACTGCTGGAAGATGAGACACATTCGACACGCTGTCATGAACATACTGAGAAACATGTCTTCGCACAGAAATCTGGCATCGCACTAACTGTTGAACTGGCCATGTCGTTGCTGGGAACAACAACTAGACAAATTATTATGTGCTTGACTTAGAACAGAACAGGCAGTGAGCTGTTAGCGAACATGTCTGGCAGAATTTCTAAAGGATAGACTCTCATTGTTCTCTGTTGATTCTTTTGCGTCCTTAATTCATGACGTCCGCAGAAGGCCTTCGATCAATTTCTTACGTAAGTCCAGTTCTGGCCCTCTTGTTGTCACGCAACACCACACCAGCGTTGCGTGACACAGAAGGAAAGAGAGAGAGAGCCTGAGCTAGACTATTTCTTGCAATTGGTCAATAAGACTCGTGCAGCGTGTCTGGGCTAACCAATCAAAGCGAAAGAGTAATCTTAGGCAATCAAACGCGAAACAACATCAGTCGTAAGTAAGCTTACTTGAAGTTTCCCGTAGGGTTCTTACCAGTCATTTACTTAACGTATTTAAATCTTGATTCGCTAATTACATTTTTACCCAGTCTCGTTCTTGGAATATTCGTTCCTTACTCCTCAAACTTGACAAAACGAGCGACTCTTAAGTGTTCAGTTGCAAGCTGGACTTTGACTGGTTTTGAAAACAATTCAAATTGAGGAAGTGAAGCACAATCGATTAGATCGAGCTAAGTGTTTGTCAGTTAAACAAGCGCAATTTAACCGGTCCATATTTTCCAAACTTTCAAAGAGAACTTTCCACGGTCGCGTGCTTTCCGACCGCTGCATGGTCAAGGGGAACGAAGACTCTGGGTACGAGGTTACATTTCCCCGTTCTAAATATTCTTTTGCTTGAGAGTGTATTCAAATAACACTTCCCACAAATATGGACAATCCTCGTTTTACAGAAGTATACAGGTTTACTATCAATTAGCATATAAAAAGCTGATTTATCTTTATTTCTTTTGTTATGTTAAGACGACTTTCCAGAAATATACATCTTGTGCGCAACATTTTTCATCTGAGAATCTATCGTCAATTAGTCGCTCCAAACCTAGCAAAGGATTTTTATTTCGCAGTACGGTGATAATTGCAAAGATGATTCAGTTTATGTACCCAAATTCAAATACGTCCAATACATGATTAGATTGTTATCAATTAACCTGAAAGAGACATCAAAAAGTCTTGGTTTTGACGGTTATTGACTCGCAGATGGTCGATTATTTTTTTTTTTTAATTTTAAAAATAGAAACCAAGATAGAAACAGTCTTAGTACAAAGAGCACGAGTGTTTTTTTCAGCGTGCATATCACCCGTGCCAGAGTGGAATAAATTGAGTCGTAGTCATTTTGTTTAGAAGCTTCCGGGTAGCTTATGGTAAATCGTTTTCATTCTACTATGAGAGCTGATATTTTTTTTGTAAATGCACCTTTCATGAGAGTAGATATAGAAATTTTGTTTCTCTTTCGAGATCGGTCTTTGAGGACTTGCGGTTTAACTGCATTGCCAAAATTTCTTAGAAACATATTATGTGTACATGCTCCATAGATACCCGAGCGCTCTTTTGTGATTGGGTAAAAAATCTCGTGCAACGTGCTTTAACCAATCAGAACTAAGTAGTCTTCTTTCCGTCCAATCACGTGCAAAACGAAAGCTGTTGTGAGCTGAAGGAAGTTGTTGCATGTTTCCCAGCAGTTACATATATCCTGGGATACGTGAGTTTACTTCGGTTTTCGTTTGTTTATTAAATTTCCCGCTCTCAACTATCTAAAGCTCGAGAATATCTTAAAAGAAAAAAACAGATCAAAAGTAATTTTTTGACGCAAAGAAGAGGGGAAACTACCTCTGAAGCACTTTTTTCACACGTTTACCCCGGATCTTCGCGAAAAGGAAATAAACCTTTTTTTAGTACATCAGGTGGTGTTCTTTATCTCATCAAAAAAACCTTCCGTGAAAAGCGCTCTGTATATAACTGGTAAATGTGTTCTCTTGTTGCAGTCCCATCACTCCAGAGCGTTATGGCACAGCTATCAGTTTCAGGTTTAGTCTTACTCAAAAATGAATATTCACAGACGCACCGCGTGTTCAGTTTAACATCGGTCCAACGGTTATTGACGTCGGGCAGATGGTTTCATAGGAGTTTTAGCCTATTTAGTATTCAGTCTTATCTTATTCCATTCTCCTCGTGTCTTTCAAAAGATTGCTTAAGAAGTTTGGTTTTTTCAGCATTGACTTTGGCGTAGTTTTCATCGTATTTTTTAGCAGACAACACTGGAAAAGAAATTGACTCCTGTAATTTTACACTTCGCCTTAAATCATCTACAAAATGTAGATTTTTGTCATGAAGCCCTGAACTTGAGGCAGGTGATTTAGCTTGATGGTCGATTGCTAAGGACGTAAACTATTCAGAACCTTATGAAACATTTTGTATGACAGCTCGAAGTGACTTGAAAAAACTTGAGTCGACATTATGAACAAATCATGTGAAGTATTGCTGCGGTATTTTCCCTCA